CCACACCCCTCACTGTAACAGTCTGATATAACCCACACTCCTCACTGTAACACCAATATATCCCACACCCCTCACTGTAACAGTCTGATATAACCACACCCCTCACCGTAACACCCTGATACACCACAAACTCTCACTGTAACACTAATATACCCCACACCCCTCACTGTAAGACCAATATACCCCACATCCCACACTGTAACACTCTGAACTACCCCACACCTCTCACTATAACACTGATGTAGCCCACACCCTTCACTGTAAAACTCTGATATACTCAACACCCTCACTCTCACACTCTGATATACCCCACACCTCATACTGTAACACTCTGCTATACCATACACCTGTCACTATAACACCCTGATATAACCCATACCCCTCACTGTGACACTCTGATGTAGTCCGAACCCCTCACTGTAAGACTCTGATATATCCCACATCCTAACTGTAATACTCTGATATATCCTATAACCTTCATTCTAACACACTCTTTGATTTACACCAAATCCCTCACTGTAACACTGATATATCTTAGGTTCCTCATTTCAACACTCTGATGTACCCACATGGCTCAGTGTAACACTGATAGACCACACACCTTCACTGTAACAGTCTGATATACCTTACCTTGTCACTGTAACACACTTATATTCCCCATATCCCTCACTGCAGCATTCTGAATAAAAGACATTTAAGAAAAATTGCTGCTCAATTTGGTTGAATCCCTGAAAGTGACAGTAACAGATGGTAGAGTGTGGAAGCAGCCACAGTGAAATCTAAATTGCTGTTGAAAATGATTCCATCTTTTTTGAAATGGAGCTGGTAGTTATTGGGCTGCAATTGTGAAGTGGCCACATTACTGGATTAATAACCATGACACTTGAATTAAAATCCATCATGGTGACTGGGGAATTTACATTTAATTAATAAATCTGGAATAGCCTCAGTAATGGTGACCATGAAACTGTAAGATTGTTGTAAAATCCCACTTGGTTCACAAATGTAATTCAGGAAAGGAACTCTGCCATTCTACAGGGCCTAGTGTGTGCGTGTGACTCCAAACTCAATCAAATGCTGTTGATTCTTAATCGCTCAATGAAAAGGCTCTCATTTGTATTCAAGAAGGTGGCTCATTATCATCTTCTCTTGGGGAATTCCTTCTTCTTCTTCAGTTCTTCATCTGAAAGTGGGTCCAACCCATAGGACCGAGATCTCTGCTATGGATAGAGTGAGAAAGCACGTCTCCGAATCCACCCCCAGCTGGAGCAGAGGACGAATCCCCTGCTGTTAGCACCAATCCAATCTCCATTCAGGCAGCTGGGCCCCCAAGACAGCACGCACGTAAGTACATTGGACCATGGAGCTGTGGATAGCAATGGTAGAGACTCCAATTCAGTTTTCACATAGCTGACCAGGAATCTCTGGCACTATTTGGAAAGATTTACAGGTTGTTAAAAGCAATGGCTTGGCTTCATTATGAACACACCTTCCTTGGCCATTGAGTTCTGGAGTGGAACTTAAACACAGAGTTTCTGGCTCAGAGTCAGGTCACTACAAACAAAACCTCACCACAAATTTAACTAGTGTTAGACAATAAATTCTACCCTTACCAGTGACACCCTCATCCCAGGAATAAATGAAAAAGAGGATGCAGGAGGGAGTGAAGCACAGGAACTGTTTGGACATTTTTCGGATGGAGAATTAAATGGCTCATTAGGAGTTTCACTGGCTGGGTCTGATTATGTTCTGATGGATATGGAACTTTGAAATGTAGAAACAGAAACAGATCACAGTATCAGAATCCGAGTTTGTTCTGGGTTTCGCCTATCCTGACTCAGTAAAATCCCAGCACCTATTTTGGGTGAAAGTGTTCCAGATTCCCATTACCCAACATGTGACAAAATGTTTCCTGAATTCACCCCTGAATAGCCCAGCTCTAAAGTTGACCAGTGCGGATGTACTTGGTCAAAGGTCCTTTATCTGTGCTGTAGATCTCTAAGACACTAAAACTGTTAGGTAGCCATGTGGATACATTATGTCATAAAGTTCACAGAAGCAGCATGAACACTCAGCCCAAGAGCTGACAAGTGAATACACTTTGCTCTGGGTAGCCTCATTTCTGAACAAACTTGGCAATGACTACTCTCATTTGAAATGCAGTATGTAGGAGGTGAAACATTAACATTGAAATCAGTGATGCATCCACTCTATCCTTGGCTGCGATGTCACACAGCAATGTCACACCATATCAGCCTGGCACATGAGGCTTAAAGACTGCTTGAGAATTCTCCCACGATAATCCAGTCACCATCCAATCATCAAGGCTTATTCAAACTGTCAGAGTAACGATCAGTTTCTACCCAGAAACTGACACAACAAAGACACCATCCTGACTGACGACCTTGGCAAACTGGACACCAAAGGTCAATGCTTTCAGAGAGAAGGTCACTGCCTCAATCAGTTAGAATTCAATTATATTCGCTGCCTCACTCTGTAATGGTGTAGTTGCACTCACTGCTGTGTTCGGTTACGATACAGTTACACTCACTGCCTCACTCGGGAACAGCATAGTCACACACTGCATTGTTCAGTTACAGGACAGTTACACTCACTGCCTCACTCAGGAACAGTACAGCTACACTCACAACTGTGTTGTTCAATTACAGTAGTTACACTCAACCTCACTCAGTTATGATGTAGTTACTCTCACTACAACAGTTACACTAACTGTCTCACTCTGATGGTGTAGTCATTCTCACTATCTCAATCAGTTACAGTACAGTAATGCTCACGGCCTCTGACTGTATAACTGCACTTACAGTCTCCATCAGTTACAGCATGGTTATACACTGCCTTGCTCGGGTACACTGTAACTACATTCACTACCTCAATCCGTTACAGTACAGTAATGCTCACACCCTCACTCAGTTACCGCATGGTTAGTCATAGTCTCACTCAGATATGCAGTAGTTACAGATACTTGTGACAGCTAGCTTTGTAGACCATAATTTTTCCGTTTCTTTATTTACCGTGGAGGTCAGTCACTGAACATATTCACAAAAGGCTGCCAAAGTACTTTCAGCAAAGAACATGTAAGTTTACTGTACAAAAGAGAAGCGTAAACTGTCACACTATTAGGAGAACTATATGAAAATATCTTACTGTATTAGAGAGAAAGGTTCAACCTTTCACCAATACCCTAAAGACACTTAAGGCTCAGAGAACATTCCCCCTGCCTCCACATGAAAGCTTCTTGTTCAGTAATCAGTTTATTTTCAGCAAATTGCTGCATTCACTTGATGCGATCTTCTTTAGTCAATGTCTCTTCGTGAAACCGTTAAACAAGCTGCTAACTCAGCTCACTTATTATATAACAGGTGTTCCTTAAACTCATGTTCACCAACCTTCTTCCTTTCTGCCACTGCAACAACCTTCTGCTTCTGGAGCTTTTCTTTTAGCCATTTCTAAGCCACTCAGGACTTTGTTTTAGCCCAGGCAGCTTGGAGACAGGTAATAAGAACACCTCTACTGTTTACAGCCCTCTTTTCTCTGAATGAATCTGCACACTGCCTGATGTCTTCTGGATTATTCTGAATTTCTGCATTACTGGGCTCCTGTCACTAGGCAAAATATCCTTTGCTCTCTCTTTTGCACTTTATTTTTAACGCACTGAACTTTACTTCAGAAGTTTGAAAACCTCACCTGAATGCGTGTAAAAAAAAGGTCCAAATCTCTAGACACCGTAGTGTCACT